CTGGGATTTGCTTTACCGTACTTCGCTGCATCATACAGAGCTACCTAGAGAAAACATGACAAATAATTACTGAAATGTAAAGTCTGTAAAGCGTGTAGGTCAATTAGACGGGCCAGCGGCTTGCATTAATAAAATCATCACATCTGGAGGGAATCATTAGTTTCATGCTTTCATGATCTGACTAGGCTAGTTATCCGGTATCAGATATTTTGGTTTTATTTGTTTTTTCCTTGACCTGAAAAGCAATCCATATATTCGGCCCTCATGGTACATATTGCACACCACTCCTAATTGGTTGAGGTGAACTTTTTAGGGCAGGCGTTTTTTTTCATTGGAAGTTCTGGAATCTCGACCTGAGTTGAACGGACTCTTCTCTGTTGTGATCCTTTATAGTAGGCACATTCAGATCTTCGTGAATTTCGCAGTTCATCCCTTCGATATCGTAAGAAAATAATGCAAGCCGTACTATTCACAGTGGATTTTATGTATCCTGTTTTGGTCATTTGATGTGAATCTCGTTTTTATTTTTCCTGATTCAGCTTGAAAGCCAGTTAATCGAATTCTTCCTGGCTGAAGTGGAGTACGATCTGACGGAACCCTTAGTCACGAATAATCCCTATCACTTCCTGAGGCGAAACGGCTCACCCGGTATCCGCTCATGGCCCTGTCCAACAGCCCGTTTGGAGTCCCTGCCAAGTAATCTTTATGCCGAATTTATCATAGATGACGGAAGTGGGGTTGGTGTGAGTAACACTACACCGGAGAACCGGGACAACAACGGATTTGGTCAACCGTTTATACTGACTCCGAAATCCCCGAATGAAGGTCCCGTATCAGTCCTGTGTGCTTCTCTACTACAGCCGACACAGTCCTTGTCGTCCGAAGTGATCCGAATCACAGTGAATCAGGATCTAGCCCAAATGGATAATTTTCATTTGGGTGACGAAAGCAATCGATCCACTTGCCTCGTCTCCACACCTCAAGCTGGTCAGGGTGGATCAGAGAGTGCACAGATGAAAAAAGATTTGGATTCGAATAATTCTGCTGGGAGTGTCCTAACTGTGAGCTATACGCACGGTGAAGAGGATGCGACTAACTGGGTTAGTGAAATTTTTTTGGCTCTAACAAATATTGCTTTGGACGCAGTTGTCAAGCTCCGCTGTCCAGGCAGCTCGATCTCGTTTGACGTATGGAGCTGACTAATTTTTGATTAAGGAATATGATCAAAATATGTTGAACACACTGGTCTTTCAACCTTAATTTATCGACTATTATCAACTTCTCTCCGTAGGTACAAACCTGCACCCAGTTATCTGTGGTTTCAGCCGAATCGATGGCAAGTTGAGGATGATTAGTGGAGGATCGGAGAACCCAACCGTGCCACCTAAGCTTGGAAGACACCATCAATAATAAAACTCATTTCTTGTATGAGAATAATGAAGGATTTGAGTTGTTAATATGATGACTTCGCCGTGTAAATGAGGCGTGGGCTGAAAAGCTGGGAAGCTGTTTCGATCCCCAGTTGGGTCGATGGATTTGAACTGCTTTTCAGTATACGCCTAAGTTACACGACGAAGTCATCAAGTAAAGAATTGATTCCTGTTATGAAAATCATCGTCTTCCCAACAGATTACAGAGGGCGAGGTAGCCTCGAAACCGGGGGAACAAACCTGGTTCTACAAAGAAAATCAAACAACAAACCTCTAAAACGGTTTCTAGGAGCATATCTTTAAAACAACTAGTTACTCTGTTTAGTTGATCTTTTATTTTTTCTGCGATGTTCTTTCTAATGTGGTCATTATGCTCACTCCATGGCTTAAAGCAAAATAAAATAAAACAACTACAAAAAAGACGGTGAAGACAACTTTTACCTTAATCAGTCATTCCTGATTCTACTATTGAACTCTCAACGGTGATAGAAATCGTTGGTCAGGACCAAAATGGAGCCCAGTGACTTGCATGTCCCTAATCATTCTTTAATCAAAGAAAAGCGTGATTCGATTTGTTCGGTTTCAGGTAATAACATAAAGTTCCACTGTTCAGCCATTTTATCATTTGTTCACATTTGCCGATATGTTCTGTGCACTTGAGCCTGATTTACTTGCTTGTGGATGACTGTTTTTTTGCACTTCATAGTCATTGCATTACGGTTGTTTGAAATTAAAAATTCTCCACTCGGATTTCTCCATCACCCCAGGTTGTTCTTACATCGCCAATCAAACAATTACGTTTGAATTTCTATGACATCTCACCACAAGAATTGACAAAATCCCAACCTGCGATCCCTGGAGCAGTAATCCTGAACTTACCGGTTTCCTTAAAGTCATCCGTCGTTCGAGATGAATGCGAACCGTATTTATCAGACCGTACAAAGCATCTGCAGCAGCAGCATAACCTCAGCATAACCTCGGATCAGGATACGGAATATTCTGCGAGACTACTCACTGTGGTTATGATCTATCCGACTGCTTGGTGGCGTCCTGGTCTATGCGCAGTGACCAAAACTGAAACCACGTCTGACGATTTCCAACAGCCTCCGTGTGAATGGTTCGCTATTCTTCCAGAAAATCGCGAAAATCGAGGCTTCTGTCATACATTCCGGGATCTTTGCCCCCGAGTGAGTTTTTCCTTATATAAAAGTGATTTTTTCCTTTACACACCTTGGTGTGATGAACGGCAGACGGAGTAAACCTCATTCACGAAGAACTGATGTTCAGTCGACGAGATCAACAACGTAAGCCTCGGGATTGGAAGTAGCGAACCATGTAGACCCCCCACACACACACACACCTGAATGTTAGGTTTGTTAACGAGCCGGACAAGAGAAAAGCTTCTTATTATCTGAGTTGCGTGGCGAGGTTCGAATCTCGAACCCTTAAATCTAAAGCAAACCGGAGTATTGTTTTGTTTGGCCCTGATAATAGCAATGCTTTCCTTGTCTTTTATTTCATTTATACTCGTAGTGCAGTCCGCAATGAGTGTTGTGCAGTCAATCTATTCAACAAGCATTCTTCCCTAGCAAATTTTGTCATCTAAATTGACCTTAACCTCTAACGAAACCCAAGTCAGGCGACTCGTCTGTCCATCACTTTGTTCAAACTCCCATGTTTCTTCGTTCACCATGAACATGTAAGTATGCGTTTACATCTGAATGAGAGCACGTGATGACCATTATCAATCCTGCCTATGTTTATCTTTTTGTGTTGATGAAGTGGATAAAGGTAAAATAATTTTTTCCATATTTCAAGGAGCACCCCTCAGCTCATGCGACCAAACGCTTGCATATATTGTTAAACATTCGTAATCGTGTGACTCGTGAAATCGCTCGCGCCGAATTTATGAGGAATTGTTTTCAGAATGATAATGCATTTTGTTTGCGACTGATTTGTGGTTAAAAGATACGGATGGCTAATTTTTTTGTTCGATATTGGTAATAGCTTTTGTCTCGTGATCGCGACTTTATATCTACTTTAAAAATTTTTTCTGCACGATAAAACTCTTGCACTTTGTTGTAACAATCACTTTCATGTCTTTTATGTTTCCTAATACATTCCGTTGTTCCACAATATTACAGTTTAATCAACCTGGTGTGCTGCAAACTCAACTGTTCGGTGCAGCGGCCGATCACTGGTGGTCCAAAGGGGACGCTCTGCTTACTATGGCTGTGCACCGCTATTTACAACACCGATGGGTGATCTGTTCCACCGGGTCTCTAGATAACGAAGCAGTGATTCCCGAGATACCCGATCCCATACACACTCATGTGGCACGAATGCAACACTCAGCCCACGCGCAAGAAGAACCGCTACTGAGTCAAATCGAGTCTGACTCTTTGCCGCATTTGATGGATTATCACGGTCGAGTTATTCGTCTCCAGCAGAACGCATGGGAAGAGTTGACTCGCCGAGCGCACCTCCTCATCCCTGCTCTGTTTCCTTCATCCGCTTTGTCTTTGCCTGATGTGACAGAACCGTGTGCATTTCGTGAACTGTCTGATATTGTGCAACTGGTGGGTGCTGCTCAGTTAATATGATCTATTGTATGTATTGTATAAGCTATTACTAAAAATGTTTAGATTCGCTATGCATTTGGGAAACTGGGATTATTTGATGCAAATTACGTAGTTCATATTCACTCAGTGTTATCATTTTCCTCGTTCCTCATTGTCAGTTATCATTGTTTGCCAATTTTATTATCTCATGATGTTCTTTTCGTGTGTCACGATTTCCCCATTTTATGAACTTTCTGGATGTATGTCTGAACAGCAATGGTGCTGTACATTTCAGTCAAATAGTCAAAGACTGTTCCGATTGAGGTCAGCGAACCACAGTGAAACAATCTGCGACAAAAGTGGGCAATCTATTCGCAATAGGGAACAACGGCTTGATCGGTGGGCGGAGTACTTCAACGAACAGTTCAGCTGGTTAGGTGCTAACCAGGCTATGTCGTCTGTTGTAGTTGAAGCTCCATGGGAACCTCCTATTGAAGCAGATGTTCTATCTTGCATCCAAGCCCTGAAGAGAGGGCAAGCAGCAGGCCGGACGGACTTCCCCACTTTTTCAAAATGAGGGTGATGACCTCATAAACTTTATTGCTGAGTTGTTGCGTAACATATGGTCACAGGAGCGCATTCCATTATCATGGAGCGAATCATTGATTGTTCTCATTTTTAAGAAGGTATCTCGCAACTACTGTGCAAACCACCGTGGAATAAATTTGATTCCCATCGTCACCAAGTTACTAGCCTCCATCATACTTCGCCATCTGACACAGTTCAGGGAGACAAATATCCGCGAAAAACAAGCATGATTTCAACCAGGCCGCGGTTGTATCGACCAAATCTTCACTCTGCGTCAAGTCCTCGAGCTACGCCATACACACCGTCGACCGACGGTTGTCGTGTTCCTTAATCTAAAAGGAGCCTTCGACTCAGTTGATGGTGAATCTCTCACGGGTTCGCTCCATCGCAAAGGAATGCCACCGAAGTATGTGAACATACTGAGTTCACTCCACTGGTGTACTTCTGGTAGCGCGAGGGTCCTAGGCGAGCTGAGTCGGTCGTTCGTAACTAGCACCGGTGTTTGTCAAGGGTGTCCTCTTTCGCCATTTCTGTTCAATTTTGTCATTAACGAAATACTGGAGAACACACTAAGTGGTTTCCGAATTGTAGGTATTGAATGGACAGCTGCGGAAAAGCCGTGTGATTTGGAGTACGCGGACGATATCGTTTGCCTGTTCTAATCTCATCATTGTACAGCGAAATACAGTGACGTGAACTTCACTGATCGCTGTTCTAATCTGTGGAGGATGCACAAAAAGCACTTGACAGATTAGCAAGTTCTGTCGCTCCGTTCGGCATGTGCTTTGCACCTCCAAAGTTCAAAGTAATGCTACCAGACTGGGTATCGTCGAGTTCTGTTCTGAAACTAGACGGTTAGGAATTATTTGAAGTTGACTGCTTCTCGTACTTAGGGCACTGCGTGACCAACGACGGTAGTGCATCCAAGGAGATAACCACCCGCATTTCCAAGGCTCGAGTAGTGTACGCTGGACCTAAGGACCTGTGACGGCGACGTGACGTTTCACTGAAGTTGAAAGGTCGCGTATACCGCGCCACTGTAAGATCACTTCCGCTTTACGGTTGTGAGACCTTGAATTTGTGGGTAGAAGACATCCGTCAGCTAAAGGTTTTCGACGACCGATGCTTACGTAGTCTGACCGAAGTGGGATGGATTGAGCGGGTAATAACTTAGAAGTAAGTCGTCGGGTGTTTGGGAATGCATCGAACAAGAACTCGCTATCGCATCTAATCCAGCTGAATAGGCTGGGACACGTTTTGCGTATGTCCGACGGTCGCCTGCCGCAGCTCACCTTATTGACAGTGGATGTTGCAGGCTAGAAAAATCCCATTGGAGGACAGCAGATGACGTGGAGACGAGGCATGAAGAAATGCACAGAGCGATCAGGTAGAGTAGGTATCTGTTATCTTTCGGTTTGGGGTTCAAAAGACTCCGAAACCGAATGTTTGGAGACATTGAAGGTCATGACTGCGAACCGAACGATCTTGTTTTCACTTCTTATCAGACCAGAATACTTGAAATAGTATGTATGCAGAGTTGGACTGTGTACTCTGTATGTTGACTATAGAGGTTCACTTTCTTTCCCCGTCCCTGAAAGTAAGTTCAGTCCCGATCCTCCTTACATATTCTCAATATGAGTTTGGCAGCGATCAGTGAATTTCACTTTACTGTATTACGCAACAGAATGATGATGATGATGATAATGAACCCTCAAGTTGGTCATCAGATGTGCAATGAAATAAATTGGAGTACAATTTACTTCATTGATAAAGAAAAGTTAAGTGAATTATGCAGTAAATGCGCTATACAGGTCACACTTAATTTGTAAATGATAGCAGCAAAAGTCCGAATGACCGTGTCCAATGTAGCGGTCAATATTGAGTGTTGAACTAAAGAACTGAGAAGAATAATGTTGCAGTTAACCGCAAGGTGCAAACATACGGAAATACTACAGACATAATGTTGATGAAGTCATCACATTGTGCAGTTTCTTACCATAAGTTTTATGAGATTCAAAGGATTGCGCTCCATTTCATGGTGATTTTAGTTATGTCTCGGGTAGTACATGGTTATGTGGACGGTACGGGTAAACATTATGGCGAACAAGCTTGTTTTTGTGTTTGAATATCTAATAACATATAGTGCAATTAAGTGGGTCGATTTAAAAATGAGTTGGAAAACAGGGGACCAATCATTTGCTGACATAACAGCTATTACTGTCCCGTAATTAATGACCTCTCTCAATGTTGTACCTCTATTCACCAATGCATCTCTCGGGGGAAACAGCCGATTTATTGTAGTAAAAAATAAAAAAGATAGGCTCTGGATCAACATTTGAAGGAATTTGAAGTCTGCTTCACACACACACACACACACACACACATATATATATATATATATATATGTATGTATAGTACTACATTTCTTCGGCGTTGTCGTAGTGGGCTCTCCACTTGAATCGTTATTAGCTGATATGTTTAGGGCTGAAATTGCAAATGGTCCGTTGCAAAAGTACGTGAATAATTTGTGATTTACCGGGGCAAATGACAGGTGAATCACTCAACCGGAAGATCCAATGGAAGCATA